CCAGGCAGCAGGAAAGTCACTAGTGGGACATTAAATCAAGGAATACAACTACTCAAATTTTCTTTTTCAGCTTTGGTGGACAGATTACAGTTAGTTAACAATGATTTTCTTCCAGGTTGATAGAGATATTCCAGCAGTAGACACTCACCAGGTTTTCCTTCGTGGGAGCACAATTTCTTCATGAGTAACTATGAGAAACAATATTAAAATTTGTATTAGAAACAAACAGATGCCTGAAGAAAATCCTGACCTCATGAAAATCGATGATTTAAACTGATCCAGCTGAAAGTACTAAAGCAAGGATTTTAAAACCACAGTCTAATGTAGGCCACAATTTACTGGAATGGTAATAGAAAAGGCTAACAGGGAGCGTAACAGCCTAGCGTCAAGACAGGACCAGGGCCTTATGGTAAGCAAACCTCAGACTGTACCCTCGAACAGATTACCCATCCAAGCTGCTTCAATCATCCTTATCCTGTATCTTCTCGCCTGAGCCCAAATCTTTACCCATCCCTTGGTTTTTCACTCTCAGTCCCTAAATTCAAAGTTTTCCAGCTCTGCCTGTTTAGCTTCTCCAGTTCAGCCTGCCTGAACAGCGCAGCAAAGTGCCCTCCCAAGTTCTTGCTCCAGCAGCCTGACACCAGCTGCTTGGTCCCTTCCACCCCAAGAGTCAGTTTTCCCACAGAAGAAAAAAAGAAAAAGGACAATATCAAAAGAAGAAGCTAAAGGTTTTCAGTACAGCATCTTAGCAAATTCATTCACTGAGGAGCACGTGGGACCTCCTGATTAAAACTCCCAGAGCCAGGGTCTGCAGAGGCACGTTTCCCACTGCCTCTGTGTTGATGCTTCCATGAGCTGTTACTGAATGGCAAGAACTTGAAGGAAACTGTCAGGATTAAGGTGGAAAACTCCTTATTTTATAGTTTCAGTTTTAAAGAACAACTGGACAGCTCATGGAACTGGACAACTCGGTTCATGCTCTGGGAGCACAGAGCTGGTTGGTGGTGAGGGTACTCAAGGGAGGAAATTGCTGCACAACCAAGATGGGGGTGTGCATGGGGGGAAATGCAAGAAAGGGTAGGAGGACATTCACTATCTGCCTCATTTCATGATAGGCAATGTTGTGTGGAGATAAAAAAAAATTTGTAAGAAAGTAGTAATTAAGACATTATACCTTCTGAATTTTCCACAGTCTTCCCAAGAGCTGTACTACTAGAAGAGCACCTGTAAACCAGAGTTTTGAATTTATAGTAGTCACATTAATACAGCAAAAGCAGATTAATGAAATCCCGTACCACAGTTCAGAATTAATTAAAACATTAAAGGGGAGAAGTAACTGGAAAAGTTGCATTGTTAAAAACTCCAAGCTATTATCATAAAACTCAGATTTGATGCTTCTCTTAAAGCCCTGATTTCAAGAGGCAAGACGTTTTCACGGAAAATTTGTAATTCTTTACTTTTGGGGGTATCATGCCTTTAAAGTAGTTTTCACAAATCACTGCATCTTAGAAAGAAAATCCTGAACATAAATCAGAAAAGACTTTATGTTTTAGAGACAGAATCTAGCTGAAAGCAGTAACTTTTCTTAAATATTTTAGACCAGAGCAGGGTTTACACAAGCAGAAGACCCTGAGTTGTGCTGTAGTGAAATGAGACCTATTTACTTGCAGATGCCCAGTCTCTACAGAGCTGCAGACAGCTCTCTCACATTACCAGAGCTGTAAAGGCACATCCACATAAACTTGCTTCTGCTGTCTATCACAAAGCACCTTTGCGTTCAGTTCAGAGTCACAGGACACAGCTCTAAGTTTTACTGCTTTTAACACAAATTAAAGCTTACATCAAAATACATATTTTTTTATTTTGCTCATGAAGGAATCTAACACTAAAGCCTTACTGTAACTCTGGCATTTGCATGTGCTTCAACGCTGACCTTGACCCTGAGAGAGACTGTTAATGTGCATTCATACCTCTGTGCTTTAGACTGATACTGCATAATTCTAGCTGTTCCTACGTGTCACATAAACTTCTCAGGTATGATTTTAGCATCCCAGTTGTGAGTTATATTTTGCCTATAAAGAGTACCCAGAGGACTGCAACCCCTTCACTTGAGGGGGGGTTGAAAAGCAACTTCCTGAAAGCAACTTCCCCCGTTCCTCTGCTTTTTCGTGAGATTCAGCTCTAGGAATCACTTAACAGCTCAAACTCACTCTCCGGGGCGGCTCGGAGCTGCAGAACCCACCAAAAGTCGGGAAAAGCACCAAAGAAGCACCG